GAGATCTCTTGCTTTCTCTAGTCCTCCTAACTTCCCCCCAAATTCTACATGCCCACACATTTTAAACATTTTTTTTAAATCATCAAACACAGAAAGCAACAAAACTAATTAATTACTCTCATTTTTTAGGGAAGAATTATATCAGTCAATAACTCTTAACTGCATACCTTCTGTTGGTATTTACTCTGATGGCTTACTTTTAAGGACAGATTTTTAAAAGATAAGTGCAATCTTTCTGTAAGTAGCTGTTGATAAAACCCAGGAATCTAATAATACATATGCAACTTCACAGGGAGAAATTCAATGACATTACACTGAATGGTGAACACAATTATAAAGAGAGAAACCATATTTTGCAATTTCAACCAATGGAATAACTGACAGGGGAAAATAAGCTAGCATCTTTCCATCTTTATAAATTGCTGATCAATAAATCACACTTGAAAGGGAGCTGAGTAATTACTATATGAGGCTTGAAGCAATAGAATCCTCATTTACATATTAACAGACACTTACAGAAATAATTTCTGTCATGGGCTTGTATATGTTTAACATGATAAATTACACCAATAATCCAGATTGGTTTTTCTAATGAATAATAATAAGGCATTGCAATGTCTGAAAATACATTATCAAAAGTTCAGAAATAACAGAAGTAAAACCAGTGAATTACTGAAGCAGAAATTAGGAAAAGTTTATTGTGCACACACCAAAAAGACAGTTTGCTAACCGAAAGCACTCAACCAATACATGAAATCAGGCTCAGAGGCATATTGTTATCAAGCAGGTTAAAGCAGGTTATATAGTGAAAAAGTTGTGACTGTTTATTCTTCATAGTGATTGGTTATAATATTAGAATTTTTTTTAATGGTGGGAATTGGTGAGTGATTACCTGATATCACCCTTGGGAAACAGTTTAAGTTTTGCTTATGATTTCGAGAGGCATCAGCAAGAAAGGACCCAAGTCAAGTTAGTCTTGCAAAATAAGCTGAAATAAGCTTTGTTTTTGTCACTAAACTGGTTTTGTCTGTTCAGGGAATTTTCAACACTGGTCTCCATGGGTTTATTATTATTGTTATTATTATTATTTTATTTTAACAACATATTTACTTATAGAAAAATACAGCATTAATTAAAGATTAAAATTAATTTAGTAATACATGTAGTCATTCTTAAAACATCTTCAACTTTTCAGAGGGGAAAGGTGGAGGATGATGGTAGATTCCTAGGTTTTAGGAATGATACACTTTATTAAAGGCAAAGATATCATTAAATTTTCTTAATATCAGTTGGATTGTAGATTTTTCAACAGATGGGAGGACAGTGGCATTAATATTTGTGTCCAAATACTTTCAGAAAATTGAGGTGATAGTGCATACTGCCTCCTAGAATTCTAGAGAGAAGAATACAGAGAATCAGAGCCAAGATCAACTTAGCTACACAAGACATGAGAGCCATAACCTAGAGAAACACCAGAATGTTAATTTTTTAAATACTTATTTATTTTGGGCAGAGTGCAAGTGGGGGAGGAGCAGAAAGAGAGGGACAGAGAATTGAAGTAGGTTCTGCGATGACAGGCTGACAGCAGAGAGCCCAATATGGGGCTTAAACTCATGAGCCACGAGATCATGACCTGAGCTGAAGTCCATCACTCAACCAACTTTGTGTTGTTGTTGTTGTTGTTTTGTCTTGTTTTTTAAATGTTTATTTTGAGGGAGGGCAGAGAGAGAGGGAGACACAGAATCTGAAGCAGGCTCCAGGCTCCAGGCTCCGAGCTGTGAGCACAGAGCCCGACATGGGACTCGAACTCATGAACTGCGAGATCATGACCTGAGCCAAAGTCAGATACTTAATTGACTTAGCCACCCAGGCACCCCTATTTCTTCACTTCCTATTACCTAATACATCATAACACATTTTCAGCAACCTTAACCAGGCGTGCTAAAGGCCCTGTCACCCCCAGAAGAAACTCCATACCCATTAGCTGTCATTCCCCAGTCTTTCTTCCTTATAACCCCTATCAGACACATTTTATAATTTAAGACTCTTGTAATAGTATATTTTCATATCCCTTAGCCTACTTATTATCTACATAATATATTTTGAGGTTTATAATATATATGTAGAAATAAAATGTGTGATAGTAGTACAATGGCTAGGATGGGAATGATAAAAAATATTCCAAAATTAGGGAGTGATGAGGTTGCAGAACTTTGTGAATATGCCAAATACTTAAGTATTAAAATGTGTGATTTAAATGGTGAAGTTTAGAATATATAAATTAAAACTCAATAAAGCTATTTTTAACTCACAAATATATTTTATGTCTCTACAAATTTCCCTACTCTGGGCTTTTCAAATAAATGAAGTCATACAAGATGCTGTATTTTGTGACTGCCTTCTTTTACTTAGCATAATATTTTCAAAATTCATCCATTTCTGAAAAAATATATAATCTATTTACATTTAATGGAGTTACTGATAATATTTTCTTCTGCCATTTTGCTATTTGGGCTTTTTTTAATGTCTTTTGCCTATTTATTCCTCTACTCATATATTACTGCCTTCTTTTATATAAAATAGATATTTTTCTGGTGTTCTATTTTACAAAATACATTAGAAGAACACTTCAAATTGCCAAAGATGTTTTTATTAGGAAACGAAAGAATTAACCAAACAAATAGCTGAATTGTACTTTATCAAAATTAAAACTTTTGCTGTTTAGAACTATGCTGAGGGAATGAAAAGGCAAAGCATAAACTGGAGAAAATACTCAAAATGTTTATATTTGACAGGGAATTGTATCCATATTATATACTCTTAAAATTTAATAAGGAGGGGCACCTGGGTGACTCAGTCGGTTAAGTGTCTGACTTTAGCTCAGGTCGCGATCTTGTGGTTCGTAGGTCTGAGCCCTGCCTCAGACTCTGTGCTGACAGCTCAGAGCCTGGAGTCTGCTTTGGATTCTGTGTCTCCCTCTCTCTCTGCCCCTTCCCTGCTCACTCTGTGTCTCTCTCAAAAAATTAATATATGTTAAAAATTTTTTTAACTTAATAATAAGGAAACAAATACTAAAAATGGCAAAACACACTTTACAAGAGAAGACACATGAATGACCAATAAACAGATAAAAAGATGTTCTACATCATTAGTCACCAGGGAAATACAACATATAACTATAATGAGATACTACTTCATACACACCAGAAAGCTTAAAATAAAATAAAAAATCTCCGTACTGCCAAATGTTAGTGAATATGTGGAGTAATTGGATATTTTAAATATGCTAGTGTAAAATGAAATAACCATCCTGAAAAATTATATTTCCATTTCTTACAGAATTAAACATATAATTTCCATATAACCTGATAATCTTGGTATTTAACCAAGAGGAATGAAAATATATGTACACACAAGGAATTTTATAGAAATATTTATAGACTCTTTATTCATAACAATTGAATCAATAAACAAATTGAGTTATATTCTTACATAAATTACTACTCAAAATAAAAGGAAATAGTTGCTATATGCAACAAGTTGGATGAATTTTTTTTTATTTTTATTTATTTATTTAATTTTTTAAATTTATATCCAGATTAGTTAGCATATAGTGCAACAATGATTTCAGGAGTAGATTCCTTAATGCCCATTTAGCCCATCCCCCCTCTCATAACCCCTCCAGTAACCCTCAGTTTGTTCTCCATATTTAAGAGTCTCTTATGTTTTGTCCCCCTCCCTGTTTTTATATTATTTTTGCTTCCCTTCCCTTATGTTAATCTGTTACGTGTCTTAAAGTCCTCATATGAGTGAAGTCATATGATATTTGTCTTTCTTTGACTAATTTCACTTAGCATAATATCCTCCAGTTCCATCCACGTAGTTGCAAATGGCAAGATTTTGTTCTTTTTGTTTGCCGAGTAATATTCCATTGTATATATATACCACATCTTCTTTATTCATTCATCCATCAATGGGCATTTGGGCTCTTTCCATACTGTCGCTATTGTTGGTAGTGCTGCTATAAACATTGGGGTGCCTGTGTCCCTTTGAAACAGCACACCTGTATCTCTTGGATAAATACCTAGTAGTACAATTGCTGGGTCATTCTATTGGATAAATACCTAGTAGTACAATTGCTGGGTAGTTCTATTTTTAATTTTTTGAGGAACCTCCATGTTATTTTCCAGAGTGGCTGCACCAGCTTGCATTCCCACCAGCAATGTAAAAGAGACCCCCTCTCTCCTTATCCTCACCAACATCTGTTGTTGCCTGAGTTGTTAATGTTAGCCATTCTGACAGGTGTGAAGTGGTATCTCATTGTGGTTTTGATTTGTATTTCCCTGATGATGAGTGATGTGGAGCATTTTTTCATGTGTCGGTTGGTCATCTGGATGTCTTCTTTGGAGAAGTGTCTATACATGTCTTTTGCTCATTTCTTCACTGGATTATTTGTTTTTTGGGTATTGAGTTTGATAAGTTCTTTATAGATTTTGGATCCTAACCCTTTATCTGATATGTCATTTGCAAATATCTTCTCCCATTCTGTCGGTTGCGTTTTAGTTTTGCTGATTGTTTCCTTCGCTGTGCAGAAGCTTTTTATTTTGATGATGTCCCAATAGTTCATTTTTGCTCATTTCCCTTGCCTCCAGGTACGTGTTGAGTAAGAAGTTGTTGCAACCAAGATCAAAGAGGTTTTTGCCCGCTTTCTCCTCAAGGATTTTGATGGTTTCCTGTCTTATGTTTAGGTCTTTGATCCATTTTGAGTTTATTTTTGTGTATGGTGTAAGAAAGTGGTCCAGGTTCATTCTTCTGCTTGTCACTGTCCAGTTTTCCCAGCACCACTTGCTGAAGAGACTGTCTTTATTCCATTGGATATTCTTTCCTGCTTTGTCAAAGATTAGTTGGCCATACATTTGTGAGTCCATTTCTGGGTTCTCTATTCTGTTCCATTGATCTGAGTGTCTGTTTTTGTGCTATAACCTGGGTGAATTTTAAAACATTATGCTGACCAAGAGAAGCCAGACACAAAATTGTACATAAAGTATAATTCTTTATATTGAAATCCTAGAAGAGGCAAAAATAATCGATTTGGCAATAAACAAATAATTGACTTCCTGGAACCAAGGGTGGGGAACACAGGAAGTTAGTGTCTACTATAGCATGCAAGATATTACAGTATAGTATTTAAAATTCTCTTTCCATTGAATGATGCCCTCCTTTGTAATGACAACAATAATGGCTGATAGTGATGATACTGGATATTAGGCACTTTATATACACACTGCCAGATTCTTCTACTGCCTGTTTGGTTAAGATGGGTGAGTGCCTTTCCTTGTACAGGTCCAGGTTTGTGCTGTCCAAAAAAAAAAAACAGAGAAATCAAGTAGAGCCATCAATCTCTGATGGTCTTTTTGATCAAACGCAGAGGTTAGTGGAAGTTTCCAGCTTTCTTTTCTTGCCCAACTTTTCATCTAAGTCATCTATCTGCTAACCAGTAGTCAAGTCCACCACCCAATTCTTGACGGTGAACCTAGAGAAGCACTAATTGCATAGTGGCAAGAGCTTCCCCTAGATCTCTGAGAGCTTCCCTGTCATGGTCCCATGTAGGCAGCTGGACTTGGTTATTCCAGTTTCTATGTGAGCAATGATTTTTCTGTAAACATCCAGTTACCCATTCTTATCATCCATTTTCCTTGTTCCTTTGACAACTGTGTATGTTAAATTCCAATAATGAACCCCTTACCCCATATTGCTTGTAGTACTGTTATACTGATTGAACCCTGGGGTGTGCATGCACTCTCTGTCTCTCTCTCTTTCATTGACACAAACACACACACACACACACACACACACACACAAATATACTCATATTTTCACAGTCAGATACAGAATTTTCAAGAAAACACATTTTCCTGGTTTGTGGGGGAAGGGAACAGGATTTTGCCTTCTTGAAAAAAAGAACACACAAATATCAATGATATGAATGAAGTTAAGAAATGACTCAGGTAATGATAATTGAATACATTAAGTGTTGCTCAAAAGCCTATTTCCTTCATCACCTTATGACTCTGACTCTGACTTTCTAACTTACATGCAATAGGGTTCCAGAATTTTTCCAGAAATCAATTACTGCTTAAAGTGCCCTGGAACCTTCAGGGCCAGCCTCCCATCCTCTCTTCTGTTTTACTTTCCCGATTCATTCACTTACTCATTCAAGAAATGAGTAACACTTATTTCAAGAACACTTATTTTCTTCTGGAAATTATTTTTAAAATATCCTCAAGGACTTCACAACAGAGATGCAGTCATATCATGGAAAAAGGAGGTTATAAAAATCATGTGCAGGGCACCTGGGTGGCTCAGTCAGTTAAGTGTCTGACTTTGGCTCAGGTCATGATCTCCCAGTTCATGGGTTCAAGCCCCGCATGGGGCTCTGTGCTGACAGTTCAGAGCCTGGAGCCTCCTTCCAATTCTGTGTCTCCCTCTCTCTTTTCCCCTCTCCCACTCATACTCTGTCTCTCTCCATCTCTCAAAAATTAATAAATGTTTAAAAAAATTTAAAAAAAGGATCATGTGTGAGATGATATGGATTCACTAACTAGAGAATGACTATTTTATAAAGAATGAGTTTTTCAAAGCAGGGTTCACAGAGGATTAAATGTGTCATGTACACTGGATATTTCTTCTGCTTTTTGTTCTTCCATCTATTGGACTGCTCTTTGCCCAAGTTGGGCAGATCGGTGACCTCATTTTTGCTAAATTCAACTTAATGAAAAATACCTAAAGGAAATTTGTGTGAGGTTTACTTTTTATATCACATATGTTAATTTTTCTTTTCATATAAGTAAAAGTTATTCTTGATAGTTTGATTTTTGATTCCTTGATAGAAAACTTAGGAAGTACAGCAATTCATGTAACATAAAATTCTGCCCATACTTCAAGTGTACAAATATATGTTTTATAATTACTTAGTTATTAGTTGTTTAATGCTCTGGTCATTTGTTCATTTTTATTTTGAGATATCCATCTTTAATTTTCATAATAATTTTTAAGAACCCTATAATATGGCACCTATAAAATTGGCATAAAGTCTTACTCTAGGGGCACCTGTGTGGCTCAGTTGGTTAAGGATTCGACTCTCGGTTTTGGTTCAGGTTATGATTTCATGGTTCATGAGTTAGAACCCATGTCAGGCTCTGTGCCGACAGTGCAGAACCTGCTTGGGATTCTCTCTCTCTCTCTCTCTCTCTCTCTGCTCCCCCAATTCCCTGCTCATGCTCTCTCTTTCTCTCTCTTTGTCTCTCTCAAAATAAATAAACTTTAAAAACAAACAAACAAACAAACCTCTTCTTCTATAAGACAGGTTGTATTTTCTTTCCAAGTTTGTCACTTGCTATTTTGGTTGTGATGTTTCAGTCCAGTCCACTGCAGAAAACAGATGGTGAACCCAAAGGGTTTAATTTAAAGAGTTTACAAAGATATGGGCATGGTTTGGGGACCAAACAAGGGATAATGAAACACCCAAGGATTAGCAACCGTAGGGAGCTGTTGTGCCCCCTAGGCCTGAGCATCAATGGGAAGGAATGATGTTACCAGAGTCCAAATGAATTGGAACCACAAAAGAGGATGTTTCTGGTCTCTTGTGGGTACCACCCATAGGCCAATATAAACCAGAAGCCAGAAGGCAGTGGGAGCCCAATGTTGTAGTCAATAGGAGTCAGTCTCTGGTAACACAAAGCAAGATAGAGAAGAGCAAAGATTTGATCCACAAAAGTTCTTTTATTTATACATATTTCTATTTTTTCATAAGTCAAAAGTAATAGTCTTTTTTATTTAAAAAAATTTTTTTTCAATGTTTATTTATTTTTGGGACAGAGAGAGATAGAGCATGAACGGGGGAGGGGCAGAAAGAGAGGGAGACACAGAATCGGAAACAGGCTCCAGGCTCTGAACTCACGGACCGCGAGATCGTGACCTGGCTGAAGTCGGACGCTTAACCGACTGCGCCACCCAGGCGCCCCAGTAATAGTCTTTTTTAAATTAGTTTCCAGCTGCATTTTAAAAATAACTTCCTTAACCAAAGATAATTTTTACTATGTTTTAGGTTTTTGTTTTTAATATATATATTTTCCATTTGAACTTCTTCCAGTTCTCAGATGAGTCGTTGCTCTTCTTTCCTGAGACCTTCACTCTTGCTTTTCCTTCTCTCTGGACAGGTATCCTGTCTATGCCGATAGTTGTCTTCCAGTTATAAGCTTAACCAAACCAAAGCCACCTTTCAGATCTCTAACAGGTCAGAGATCTTATTTTTGTTCAAAAATAAGCAAAGTGCCATGCAAATGGTGAAAGCTATTTTGGTCTCAGGGTCAAATAATCACTCTATACTGACAGTGTTAAATTGTACCTGAATGCTCCTGGAAAACATCAACAGGTAATAAATCTCCCCACGTTTTTGTGTTTCAGGAGATGGTTTAATGCAAACAACTACTCTTTCCCATTTCAGTTAAATAAGATACTCAGATGCTCCTCTTTCTTTCTTTTTAAATTTCTTTTAATGTTTATTTTTGAGAGAGAGTGAGAGAGAGGCAAGGCATAAGCAGGGTAGGGACAGAAAGAGAGGGAGGCACAGAATCCGAAGCAGGCTCCAGGCTCTGAGCTGTCAGCACAGAGCCCGATATGGGGCTCGAATTCATGGACCCATGAGATCATGACCTGAGCCGAAATCAAGAGTCAGACGCTTAACCAACTAAGCCACCCAGGAGTCCCAAGATGTTTCCCTTTCTTAAACTTGGTTCCCCTTTCTTAAACAAAGATACTCTGAATTTCCTCTTTGCCTTAAAAATGATTAGCTGAATTGTTTTACCCACTGAGTACTCTAGGTAAAATAACTGTTTAACTTGACTTGACCAAACTTTAGTTAAATTTCTCTCCTCTCCCTAGGCCTTTGTTTCACCCTCCTTTGAACAAGCATCAGAAACTCGGAACAGCCATCCCTGTACAACCCCTCCTGATATGCTGATCTCAGGGAAAAGATTCAGTGGTTAGATCAGACCATTGCTCATCCCACTATCTCACGTCTGAATCTTCCTTGCCTTGTTTAATCCTTCTTATTAAAGAAAACTTTTTTTTCTGCCTGATATTTGATCACTTATAGATTTTATGGTCCTTATGATCAGAGCATAATGGCCCTCTCCTTAGTCTTTCTCCCTCTTGCAAAGATGCCTCACCTTATTGTTAGAGTCTCCTTCCCCATCACAATATTGCTTTTGAATGAGTCTGTCTTTTCTCAAGTTTAGATTCGTTTTTTGTTTATTTGTTTTGCTTTCTTTGATAACAATTTGTGCCTGCGCACCTCTAGAGCTGCTAGAATCTGGAAGAAGAGAGCTCATTTATTCAACAAACACTTATGGAATAGCAGTTCTATGCCAGGTACTTTGCTAGATGCTGGGGTTTTTGTGACGAGAAAAGCATAGTTCGTTCCCTTAGGGAACATGCAATATTTTAAAAAACACAGTGCAAAAAGTGCTATCAAAAACAACAACAACAACAACAACAACAACAACAAAACCAAAATCACTGTGTACTCTGAGACTATAGAGGATGGACATTTATCCCTGAGGGAAATAAATCAGAAAATGTTTTCATAAATTAGTAGAATTTGACATGATCAAAATATGTCATAAAACATAATTCAGAAATGTGTATTGTGGACAGAAATTTCCAACTGTTTAAATGTCAGAGATGAGTATGGCTGAGATTATCAGCTAAGGCTTTGTGCATAGATCAGCGAGGTGAGCCTTGAAGAATAGTGAGGACTTAAACAGCATAGAAAAGAGAAGTCGATGTTTCAGCAAAGTTTTTTGATCACAGAGAGATGGAGCAGAGGCATGTGTTGGGGAGAAATGAAGATGTAAAGGAGAAACTCAGTACTTCCCTCTTCTATATAGAGAAAACCCCACTCTTCCTCCTGTGTGTCTCCTTTACTACTCACACGAAAACTTCACTTCTGGTCACCAAACGTGTGGTTTTTCCCCACACCAAGCAATTCTCTGCAGCACCAGCTGGGTGTCATATAATCTAACTCAATTCTGACGCCATCTGCCTAGATATAGCCTCAGAACCCATGGCGTAAGGGCTTAGCCCCATAAACTGTCTCTCCACACCCCAAACGCACGTACTTCAGATGCCTGTCGCAAGCCCCACTCATAGCTCATCTTTCTGATCAACTGGCTATAGATGGGAAGTTACAAAGACCCCCTCCTTCAGTTTTAGTAATTTGTTAGAGAAGCTCACAGAACTCAAGGAAACACTTGCTTATGTTTACCAGCTTATTAAAGGGTATGATAAAGGATA